GAGACAGGGTTTCTCTGTGTAGCTTTGCGCCTTTCCTGGAGCTCACTTGGTAGCCCAGGCTGGCCTCGAACTCACAAAGATCCGCCTGGCTCTGCCTCCCGAGTGCTGGGATTAAAGGCGTGCGCCACCACGCCCGGCTCCGTATTGGATGTTTTTGAGACAAGATCTCTTACCGTAGCTGGTTGATTCTGCTAGACTTGTTGTCCAGCAAGCCCCAGGAATCCTCATGTCTCTACCCACCCAGCACTGAGATGACTAATACATAACCATCCTGGTGTTATGAGGTAGGTCTGAGGTATTGAATTCATGTCCACACACTTGCTCAGCAAATATGACCAACTGAGCAATCTCCTCAGTAATTTTCAATTAAAAAAAAAAATCAGATGACCCACAGCCAAACATTAGGTGGAGCTCAGGGAACCCTGCAGAAGACAGGAGGAAGGGATGTAGTCACCAGAGGGGTCTAGGACATCAGAAGAACATGACCCACTGGATCAATAAGCAGGCCTCATAGGGGCTCACAGAGACTGAACTGACAATCATGGAGCCTGTGAGTCTGCCCTAAGTCCTCAGTATAAATGTTATGGTTGTTAGCTTGTATGTTGTTGTGGGACTCCTAACAATGGGAGCTGGGATGTTTCTGACTTTTTTTTTTTTTGCCTGCCTTTGAGACCCTTTTCCTCATACTGGGTTGGCTCATCCAGCCTTGACAGGAGGGTTTGTGCCTAGTCTTATTGTATCTTGTTGGGCTGTGTTCGATTGATATACCTAGGAGGCCTGCTCTTTTCTGAAGAGAAATGGAGAAGTGGTGAATCTGAGTGGGGAGGGGGGACGAGGAGAGGTGGAGGGAGGGGAGGCTGCAGTCAGGATGTATTGTGCGAGAGAGGAATAAATAAAAAGAAAAAGGAGGGAAAAGGAATATATGATTGTTGGCGTAATCTTCCAAGGGCTGTTTTTGAGAATTAGGTTTCATATCAGATAGGAGGCCCCAAAGCTTTGTTGAATTACAAAAATAGTTTTTTGGATTTGGGAGGGCAGGAGCATGCCATAAGTAGATAGTCAAAGCCTGCCAAAGTTTAGTTTGGAGGAATACGCTCTAGAGAGCTGTGTACAATGGTGACTAGAGTTGGTAATAACACATAGTTTACTTGAAAACCATTAAGGAGAGTAGATGGTACTTTAAAATTTCTTAATTAATTAATTAATTTGCATATGTGACCTTTGAAGATTGCCCATCTTGCATGGGCAATTGATTCTCTCCTTCCACTGTGTCAGTCTTGGCAATCAAACTCAGGCCATCGGGCTCAGCAGTAAGGCCCCTTTACCCACAGGTCTATCTCCCTGGAGCAGCAGAGCAGATCCTAATGTTCTTTATTGTGAGTATACGAACTATGAGTTGGTGGATGTCTTCACTAGTTTGATTGCGATACTTTGATTGCTTTCTATACAGAAGACACACTTTTAAAACTTAAGGGCTGGAGAGATGGCTCAGCCGTTAAAGGCTAGGCTCACAACAACAACAACAAAAAAAAACCTTAAAAGTACCAAGTTTATCTCAATATCTTGTTTCACCTTCTTGTCTTTTTCAGTTTGAAGTATAATCATATCGTCTTTCTCCTTCTCTTTCCCTCTACTCTCCTGGCTGACCCACTCTTAAATGGGAGCTATTAGTAATTTTTTAATTTTAAAAGTCATATTCATATATTTATTTTCTTTCTATGTATTTGTTTGTGTGTGTGCTCTTGCCATGATGCATGCATGGAGGTCAGAAGGCAACTTTTGGGAGTCAGTTCTCTCATTCCATCATGGTGGTCTGGGGGACTGAGCTGAGATGGTCATGCTTAGTGGCTAGTGCTTTTAAATTCTGAGACCTGTCCCAGACCCTGGATGATTTTTCTAATGAAATTCATCATTAGGAATGGCAAATATTATTAATTTAGCAACTATTAAATACTGATAGTAGATAAAGTTATTGGCTCATGCGTTTATGGAAATCATTTCTAATAGTAAAATGTTCTGGTTATATTACTTAATTGAAGGAAATATCGTCTAGCTATTGATTTCCAATTATAGCACATTCTCGTTTTGATGTAATTTAACATTGTCATCTTATTACTGCTGTGTCCAGCATAATCTTTCAATGTTTTGATAAATTCTATAACTTAGAAATTATGACTTTACTTTTGCTCCTCAAAAATTGCTTTAAAAGCGGGCTGGTGAGAATGCTCAGTAGTTAGTGCTTGCTACTGCTCCAGAGGTTCGAAGCTCCATCCTCAACACCCACATCAGGCTCTCTCAATGGCCTGTAATAGGAGCTCTAGGAGATTTGACACACTCTTCTGGACTCCACAGGCACCTGCATACACCTGACATACAGGTGTGGGCACATTGTGTGTACACACACACACACACACACACACACACACACACACACGCATTCTAAAAAAAAGCGTTCTTTAAAATAAATTTGTTTTTTTAAATTGCTGCATTGTGATGCTGTGATGATCCTATCGGTGAAGGCACTGTGCAGCTAAATTCAGAAAGCCATCCAAGCACACACTTGTCTCAGTCCAAACTCTGTACCTCTCACTGAACTTCTGAACAGTTAGAAAGGCCATTCTGAAACTATGACTGAGGCTTTCTACACTTTGTCTTAATCCCTTATCTGAAACAAAAAAGAAGCCCACCGCATTGAAAGTAGAAGAACAATAGCTTTAGGTGTTCTTAAAATACTCTGGTGCCCTTCTGCCTGCATTCCGCCCTTCCTTACATCTATCTGGCATTGCCCTTTCCTGATCCCTTTTCTAAATGTTACAGTATGCCTACACGTACATGTGTTTACATATATACGTGTACACATGATCGTGTAGGATTCACATAGGAGGGACAACATATGAGGTTTAGGCCGCCTCACTTAATATATTTTGAGTCCATCAATTTTCCTGAAAATTTCATTTTCTTTACATCTGAATAATAGTCCATACTGTATGTGTATCACATTTTCATTATCCATTCATCTGTTGGTGGACATGTAGCTTAGTTCCATTTCCTTGCTGTTGTAAATACAGTAGCAATGAGTAGCATGAAAATCTCTATGGTGGGCTAGAGTGTAGGATGTCAACACTGGTAAAGCCAAATAATGGTTCTGAAACAAAAGTGGTTTCTACACAATTAGAGAATTCCAATTTTTTTTACTTAACCTAAGAATAACTTGGGTCCAAGGTGCTACATTTTTGGGCATTGCTATCAACTATAAATCACAGTATTACTATTCTAAGGAAGCAGAGGTGTTCATTGGTACAAATGTTGTTTTATGTAGTAGGTGATTTTCTACACAAAGACAATAAGAGAACACATTATGACATTTGTTTACAATGCAGAGTGTCTTAATTGTTAACAGCCTCATCTCACAGGCTAAATGAACAAATGCAAAAAACAGCTAGCTACTCATTGACTGACATCACTTTGCTTGAAGCAGAATGCTGTTGATTCAAGACAAAAGCAATGATGATTTTTAAACATTTATTAATGTGCTTACCTCCTTTGAGCAAAGGCAACATTTCATCCAGTTGGGGACAGTTCTGACTTGCACATTCTTTGTTGCCCTTTTCCAGAAGAGAATTCCATTCTTAAAGCACTATTTGAATAAAGTTCATATCAAAATAATTTCCCCCAACATAATTGTTTAATTTAGATACATAGACTGCAAATTATGGAGTCAGGTGAAGAAAATGTTAGTACAGTAGATGCTAATTTATAACAGCTGTCAACAGACTCCAATAAATATTGAATCACAAGCCTAAAATTTACCGTAGTCTGAGTTCACAGCAAGCATGATTCTCCCATATGGTCAGATTCCCAGCACAATGAATAGGTCATACTATGAGGAATCCAAAGAAGAAATCTTAGTGAGCCCTTCCAAGATGGCTTTAAAATGCATCTTATTAATTTGGTTCTTTGACAAATTGAGACATATATAAAATGCATTCTCTGTGTTTCTGGGCCAGCTGGATGTCTCAGTGGATAAAGCGATTACTGTACAGGTTGAGGACCTCAGTTTGATCCTGGAACCCACATAACATTGGAAGGAGAGAACTCTATTCACAAAGTTGTCCTCTGGATCTCACCCTCCCAATACATCATAAACCACACAATAGTAATAAATAGCATTAAAAATAAAAAAGTGTATTCTGCTTACTATAACCCATCTTCCTCTCTGATTTCCTTCCCAGTCCTATTATCCTCCAAAATTCCCTTCTGTACATTTCATGTCTTGTTTTCGATTCTCACCCATTTTAACCAGGATTGTCTTGGTGACCATGAATTTGGAAATTTTCATTGAGTATACAGCTGAAGACAGTGACTGACCCTCTCCAGAATCCATCACTGCCAATAGTTCAGCAGGGAGGGGGCAGGGCCCCAAGTGCCCTCAGAATCCATGAATGACTTTTGACAGGCTCACTCTTGTGAGGTCACTGCCGCCGTGAGCTCATGACTGAACTGGCTGGGCCAGGCTCACATGGTGTTTCATAGTCCTTCTCTCTATTTTATTGTTCTTAAATGATCTCCTCTTCCCTCTTCTGTGATGTTCTCTGAGTCTCAGAGAGGGGGGGGGGAGTAAAAAATGTCCTGTTCATGGCTGAGTATTCAATTGTCCCCACTGTTCATTGCAATGACAAGCTTCTCTGATTAAAACTGAGAGTAGCATCTGTCTATGGCTAGAAGCAGATATTTAGGAGATAGTTTGGAATCATGACAAGATGAATTGATCCATTTTTTATTTTTTATTTTGTTACCATAATTTATGGAAGGGACACATATACATGGAGGCCAGAAGAGGGTAACAGATCTGGAACTGGTGTTACAGGTAGTTGTGAACCTCCTAATGTAGATACTGGAAGCTAAACTTGGGTTCTCTGGAAAAGCAGCCAGCACAAGTGGTTAACTTAACCACTTACATGATACATCTTAAAACATTGTAACACTTCCATGTATGCTAGCAATAGAAAGCACAGCATCTCAACAAATTCCTAAACATAGCATCCATCTGCAGATAGAACATCATGAACAATGCCCAGGACTTTTTACATCCAAACCTCAGGCCCCTCTCAAGGACATCATGATCTCTCCTAAACGTTATGACCATTCTCTAAATATTTTGTATTTATGTTGATGTTTTCTTTATTTGTAAGTGCTCTGTTGCCCAGGTTTGGGGTAAGTGCTGCTTATGTTTGAACTTTCTTAAAATATCAAAATGTAGCTGGGTGGTGGTGGCGCACGCCTTTAATCCCAGCACTCGGGAGGCAGAGGCAGGCGGATCTCTGTGAGTTCGAGGCCAGCCTGGGCTACCAAGTGAGCTCCAGGAAAGGCGCAAAGCTATACAGAGAAACCCTGTCTCGAAAAACCAAAAAAAAAAAAAAAAAAAAAAAATCAAAATGTATTCTGAAAAAAATGTATTCTGAGACTTGCTTTCCTCCTGTAACTGTATGCTTTGATATCAGTGTGTTGTGGTGCATATGCGAATACATTTAAGTGATCTACCTATAGCAGCCTAAGATACACAATGCTTTCATCTATTCTCTCATTTTTGCATATTCGTTTGAGAGTTCCTTCTTTCCTTTATTTTTCCTACTAATGAGCAGACTGCCACATGCATTCTTCTACCTATTTCATGACAAGCTGTATGTGCAGGAGACTGGGCTGTGGAGAGTGCTAGATTCAGAAGACTGACTACGTGTTTCATGAATTGACTCTGCCAATTTCAACTCTAAAGAGTACAGTGTGAGTCCCTAGTGTTCTAAGTGCTTGCCAACACTGTGTGTCACCAGCCCTCTTAATTTTTGCCAATCTGGTGGGCTGACACTGGCATTCAAATATTGTTGTTGTTTTAAATTGTGATTTAGGGACTAAGATTGTTCTATAAAATATCCACTTACAATGTTATATGAAGATACAAAAATCAGGACATTGTATTCACTTCAGGCAAAATAATTACAAAAAAAAAAAAAACCCAACACATTTACATGCAGAAATCCCAATGCTTTCTGTAACTAGAGTGGTGTTTTTACACATTCAGCGTGATGGTTGTTGCTGAATTCAGCAATAACACCTTTATGTTCATCACTAATTAATGATAATCTTGAATTAATTAGATGAAGTCCAATTTATGCATAGCTATTGATTTTTTCCCTGCCATTTTAACTCATTCTAGAAGAGAATACAGAGAGATGGAAATAACTCTGTGTGTCTGTATAAATGACGCAGGATGGAATCCTATAGTGACCTGAATGGATGATGCTAAGAAGATTGATAGAAACAGCAGCGCTGTAACTCCTAGAACTGTTGTGGGAGTTTTACAATTAAAATATGTTTCAGGGGGCTGGCTGGAAAGCACCATGGCTCTGTTAGGTTGATGACATTTAATGATGCTAATGATGTGCCATAGGCATTATAGGTTGTTTTCTGCCCCAGTGGGTTCTGATACAATAATGTCACCTTCCCATATTAATATGGGGTGATGTTCAAAAAAAAAAATCACAGAAGCTGTCCTTACTCTTGACTGATACAAGGAAGGCTACTTTGCTTTGAAAATAAGTTACTAGAGTTAGGGGTTTGGCTAAGTGCTGGGGTGCTTGCCTAGCATGCTCAAGGCCCTGGGTTTGAGCCTCAACATCACTAAGTAAATAAATAAGTAAATAAACAAATATATTAAATAAAGAAGTAGCTTGTTGGGGAGGATAGATGAGCACATTTGGACAAGCAGAACATGTTTTAGTTAAAACCTAATAAGCACCTACAAATGGAAAATTAATATCCCTATCCCCCTGTGATCACCAATCTGATTATCTCACATTCAAGTTAGACCATAAAGATCATTTTGTCTTATGAAGCTATGTTGCAAAGAGATACTGAGCATTGACATATGGGGTCAGTTCAAACTTTATCATTCTAATAAAGATATCAAGCTGTCAATGATCAGTTATTGGAGGGGGATAAGGTTTGGGAACCAGTTGATTTTAATATCTACTTGGGGATCAGTATTTCTCCTCTAACATAACTCCAACCTGTGCCTCGCTGGCACAGCTCAAAGCAATGGATGAAAGTAGCTGCTGATTTTTGGTTTGGTTTGGTTTGGTTTTGTCTGAACATAGACCCACCCTGCTCCCATGAGTTAGATTCTGTCCTCTTCATGGCAACAAAAGGCAGAATCTAGACTTCAAGCTGTGAGCATTAGAAGAATTATGAGCCAAGGAGAATTATGAATGGTCTCCAAAGAGGTGTTTACCAACCCAAGGTTTCCCTGTCTACTCTCTGAAGCCCAACAGAAGGTCTGAAGTAATTTGGGTTTCCAAACACCCATTTAATTTATGCTTCTGGAGTTTTAGTGTCGAGATGTGATGTTCACATTCATTGTTGTCACAGTGCCCCTCTGCCTCCCGTCCTTTATTGCATAATTCCCCTCAATTCCAACTTCTCCCAAGGTGGAATCAACCCATCTGCTTGTTGCTCTGTCCCCATTTACTCTTCATTTCCTCTGCGTGTGGCTTTGCCCAGTGTGATATCACCAGCTCAGAAAGGCAGTCTCTCTGCTCCATTTGGTTAATTAATCTCCGACTATGTCTGTGGCTCACCTTGTACTTATGTTTACAGGATGATAAAACTCTGAAACTTTCTTGCCTTGTTTTCATTTCATTTTCATACAACATTCCCAGCGAATGGCAAAACACAAAATTTGGCATGATAAGTCATTCAATTTCTACTAAGGTAAAAACCTCTAACACCTCCAACATCAAAATTTCATCATCTTATCTCAATATTGGTTTGTTATTAACTTCTTGTGCTTATTAAAAAACAATATATTTCTCCTTTCATTGTTATTTGTCTCCATCCTGGTGACTGTTCTTTTCTATTCTATAAGGTGCCCCGTACCATTTGATTGGTTTTATATGATTTCATATCCAATTGAGGAGATAAGTCATTAGCAAAACGAAAATGATAATTTAATAATGTTTCTCATTTACTGATGTCCTGTTTTGTTCTAGGCAGGTGTTGTCTTGATAATGGCATTGTTTGTTACCATTTAATTCTTACAGTAAAGCTATGATAGAATAATGTTTGTGTACCCTGTTTTATATATACTGATACCAAAACACTGAGTTGTTGAAGATCCTACCAGAAGTAGCTTGTGGAATGAGTAGAGAGATGATACAGACATGTGAGTCTGGCTTCAGATTTAGCATTCTTTTTTCCCTCCTGTTTTGAGACGAGGTCTCACTATTTAGCTCAGGATAGGCCCAAACTCAACAATATTCATGCCTCACTCTCCTGAATATTGGGATTTCCTGAATCTCACCACACTTGGTTCAGTCCCAGCATTCTTATTTTTTTTGAAGTCAGCATGAAGCAAATTTTTTCCTCTTGAAATCCTGTGTGACTACAACAGTTCTTCTAAATGAATAAATCTGTTTCTTGGTACAGGGGCATGGGCAGAACATAGTAATGAATGAAAAGGAGGGGGAAAAAAACACAGTTGACATTTTAAAAGGGCTTTTTTGCATTTTATACACAGAACATGAAAAAGATAGGGCTTACAGATTGCTTATCAAAACTACAGTGGAAAGACCTCTCCGTACAGAATGTCTTCTCCTATGGTGGTCTCAGACCAAACCCAGTTGATTTCCTACATGCATTGAGAGCGTGAGGGTAGGATTGGGGGAAACAGGTTTATGAGACAGAATCATTCTGGGGCATGTGAGATGTGCTTAGTCCCATGGTTCTGTGAGTAGCAAGACACTCAATAGAAGTGCTTCTAGGAGAATTTCTACCTTTTGTCTTTGCAGCTTCCCTAGGAATGTCCTTTTGCCATTGCTTGTAACTTGCAAGGGAATTTGGCCTTACCTGCTTTGTGGGGAAAATATTTAGTCAACGCAAATCACTAAGCAGCTAGCTAGGGGTCAGAGGAAGTTATCCAGGTATCTCTGATGTAGAGACTTGCTGTTACTGCAGGAGAAAAGGCCGATCCAATTAGATGGCACCAGAGGAACACTAATAGGGGCTTTATGGGCGCAGCTATGAAACCTTTGTATAGTTTTGCTAGGTTTTGCAGGGAGCAAGGTACGATGTAGGGTAATGCTGATGCTTTCTGCCCTCTCTTCAGTCTGTCTTGTTGAAGCTCCGTGAAGGTCATGCTTGGTTTTGTCACTCTTGTGTCACCAGCCTCTGGCACAATGCCTAGCCTCTAGCAGATGTTCAGCAGATATAGGAGTGTATAAATCCAAATATGTCTGGGGAAAAAGGGAATTCCTACACATTGTAAATTAATGCACACATTATAAAAAAAATGTGGAAGTCTTTCAAGATATTAAGAACAAAACTACCGCAGCGCCCAGCAACCCCACTTCTAAAAGGGTGTATACCGGAAGGA